ATCCATCCATCCATCCATCCATCCATCCATCCATCCATCCATCCATCCATCCTGGATTGCATTCTAGACTACTTTGTGTTCTGTGTAAGAAAATGTTGAAACTATAGAAACTATTCTGGACTATAGAAGAGCAGTAAAGACATTAGAACAGGGGTCTACCAGTCCATGGTCCATTTGGAACTGGGCCATGCAAGCAGTGGGTGAGCACACTTGCGTGGGTATAGGCACTCGCGCATGTTCACTGCTTACATGGAACTATCTCTTCTCCCCCCCCCCCACCCTTCTGTTGCTGCTGCCACTGGTCCACAAAGCCAGACTCTAGTTAGACATTTACTGTCCACTCACACACTGTTCTGTTGGAAGAAATAAGAAAAATAGGAAGCAGATGAAGAAGACACCAATGTCTGTTCCAGCTAGACCAGGGGTCTCCAATCTTGGCAACTTTAAGACTTGTGGACTTCAATTCCCAGAGTTCCTCAGCCAGCTTTGAAGTCCACAAGACTTAAAGTTGCCAAGATTGGAAACCCCTGAGCTAGACTGTTTCCCAGCCCTTCCAATGTCTTGGGGCCTTTATTGAAAGGTCTTGAATGGTCAGCCGTCTTTTGAAGTGGTTTCATTTTTCCTTCATTAATATTGTCCTTTTTTCATGTTTTTAATGAATTCAAATCCATACAGACAGGATACTTACACAGTGTAATAAATTATCAGGATCTTTATAATCTGGTTTTGATTTATTTGGAAGACGGAGGCAGCAAAATATGCTAACCCCAAATGCCATATTACAAATAGCACTTGCTCCATCTAGAAAGGCTTATTGCATGATCGCAAAGTTGTTTTAAAAAGGTAAAACCTCCGGAGTCTAAATGGATCCCTGGCAATTTCATTGGATAATATCCACGTTGTTTTGTTGGGGGCAATCCAGACATCGTTTGCCAATTTTTCCAGGATGTTTTTCAACTTCCCAGACTTGGTCCACACGTCTGAGAGTTATGATAGATGGGATAAGTAAACCTTTCTGATGTCCACAAACTAGCCATAATATTGTGTAGTGGGACGAATGACAAAAGTGGGCAAACTTAGGATTTTCTTGAATTTGATGTACTGAATATTCTAATTAAAAGTCATTCTGACAGTGTCTTTTAAAATTGCTTGGAAGAGCTATTTTTTCCCCTAACAATAATCTTTTGTATACTGTGGAATATTTTACAGCATATGCCTGAGAAAAAATATTTGGAACAGAAGGAAAAGAAGGCAGGACGGGTCCCAGCAACAGCTAGTTCATTGCTATCAGTGACTCCCTTTGATCTTAAGCTCATTTTAACACTGGGATTGGTGACTACTGAAATTTAAGTATTCAACTATGGTCTCAGAAATCTTTGAGAACCTGCAGAGGTGAAGGTATTAGGTGGCCATCGGTCATTACTTTACAGGTAGTCCTCAACTTACAAGAGTTCGTTTAGTGACAGTTCAAAGTTACAACAGCACAGAAAGAAGTTGACTTATGACTGCTTTTCACAAGACGGTTGCAATGGCCCATGGTCCTGTGATCAAAATCCAGACTCTTGGCAACTGACATGTATTTATGACGGTTGTAGTGTCCCCAGAGTGATGTGACCTCCTCTTGCGATCTTCTGATAAGCAAAGTCAATGGGGAAGCCAGATTCACTTAACAACTGCAGTGATTCAGTTAACGACTATGGCAAGAAAGGACATAAAATGGGACAAAACTCACTTAACAACTTTCTTGCTCAGCAAAAGAAATTTTGAGCTCAATTGTGATCGTAAGTCGAGGACTATCTGTATTGCATACTTTCTTTGAGTATATATGATATCCACAGATGGATTCTATTTTAAGATATAACGAAGTTTGAGGCTGATGGGCTGGAGCTATAGATAAGTGAATGAGCTTTTTCTATCCCATTAAAGGAAGTTTCCTGCCCCTTTAATTATCCCTTGAAATTTATTTATCCCTAAATAATTTCTTTATTAAATCACCAATCTCCAAATGCTTTAGGGTTTTCTTCTGCATAGAAAATACAAGTACATTTAAGATTGTAGTAAAATACAGATCTCTTAATTAGAAACTAAAATATAGTTTCTAGTTTGCTGACATAATTACATTGGAACACAGATTGTACTATGACCTGCCTAATTAATGAAGTAACTTACCAAAAAACAAGTAAAATATACAGTTGGTACCTCGGTACTCATCGTTAATTGATTCTGGGAGGCACAATGAGTAACAAAAAGATGAGTGCCAAACAATTTTTTCCCATAAGGAATAATATAGTGAGTCACACAGCAGTCAAAACTGAAAAGTTCTAGCTTGTATGTTGAGTACCAAACAAACAATGAGTACCCGGACATTTTCACAAATTCAATGAGTTTTAAAGCCGTTGAGTACGAAGGTACCACTGTATTAATTTATTTACTCCATAGGAGTTTGAGTTTTGCAATTCTCAACTCATGCTTTAGTGGTTTCTACAAGATAGGGGCAGAGTATGTATGAAACAGAGTAATAGGAGCTTCTCAAAAGTATCCCCACAACCTTGGTGCCCTCAAAATGCAGGAGGCCAAATTCTGAGAATACTTAGCCAATGTGATCTTCGCTGATCAGGAATTCTGAGAGTTATGATAGAGCCATAATACTGTGTAGTGGGACGAATGAGAAAAGGGTGCAAACTTAGGATTTTCTTGAATTTGATGTACTGAATGTTCTAATTAAAAGTCATTCTGACAGTGTTTTTTAAAATTGCTTGGAAGAGCTATTTTTTTCGCCCTAACAATAATCTTTTGTATACTGTGGAATATTTTACAGCATATGCCTGAGAAAAAATATTTGGAACAGAAGGAAAAGAAAGGCAGGACTGGTCTCATCAATAGCTGGTTCATTGTTATCAGTGACTCCTAAGCTCATTTTAAGACTGAGATTGGTGACTACTGAAATTTAAGTATTCAACTGTGGTCTCAGATATCTTTGAGAACCTGCAGAGGTGAAGATATTAGGTGGCCATCGGTCATTACTTTACAGGTAGTCCTCAACTTACAAGAGTTCTTTAAGTGACCGTTCAAAGTTACAACAGCAGTGAAAAAAGTGACGTGGGACTTTTTCACACCTACAACCGTTGCAGAATCCTCATAATCATGTGATCAAAATTCAGACTCTTGGTAACTGGTTCATATTCATATTGCAGTGTCCCAGGGTCATGTGATCAATTTTTGCGAGTTTCTGACAAGCAGAGTCAATTGGGAAACCAGATTCACTTAAGAACTATGTTACTAACTTAACTATTGGAGAGATTGACTAAACAGCTGTGGCAAGAAAAGTGGTAAAATGGGGTAAATGTCACTTAACAAATGTCTCATTTAGCAACACAAATATTGGACACAATTGTGGTCATAAGTCAAGGACTGCTTATATAACACTGTCCGTATGTTGTGGAACATGCTGCAAATTATTTGCAGTCCTGGTTGAAAACACATTGTTATGCCTAGCAAAAAGCAAAATTGCAGTGCAGAATTCTATAGTAAGTTTTTTTGGGGTGGAGGTAATACGGTATAAATTTCAAATGATGTTGCTGTTTGAGAAGAGGTAGTTTCTAGTGGAGATTAGATATGGTTGCATTGTACCAGTACGGTGCCAGTTTCAATCAACGATCCTAAAATCCCTGAACCATAATGAAAATTTGTTTTGGATAAAGTTAATACAGAAAAGTTTTGCCAAATTCATCCTGTCTATTCTAACAAAAGAACATTCTTAATTAGTTTAACACTGGATGGATGGATATAAAATGAAAGAGGAAGGGAGGGAAAAAACTAAAAATGCTGAAAGAAAAAAGTAAATGAAAAACAGAAAGAAACAATATAAAGATAAAGAAGTGGCTTCCAATCTTCTTCAGAACAGTTATAAGTACAATTATATTTTAGTTACTCTCTCTCTCTCTCTCTCTCTCACACGTTATATTCTATTTTTCCCCCTAAAATGTATCCTGTCTAATCATCAAAACCACTAATAAGTTCATTGTTCTTGCTTTTACACAAAGATTCCACAAGAGGTTTCCAGTAACTTATAAAGGCAGATAGTGTCTTTTCTCTAATCCAGGGGTCCTCAAAATTCTGGGAGTTGAAATCCACAAGTCTTAAAGTGGCCAAGTTTGGAGACTTCTGCTCTAATCTAAAAAGTCAGTTTAGCCATTTAGAGCCTTGATGGTGCAGTGGTTAAAGTACGGTATTGCAGGCTACTTCTGCTGACTGCCAGCTGCCTGCAGTTTGGCAGATTGAATCTCACCAGGCTCAAAGTTGATTCAGCCTTCCATCCTTCCGAGGTGGGTAAAATGAGGGCCCAGATTGTTGGGGACAATAGGCTAACTCTGTTAACCGCTTAGAGAGGGCTGTAAAAAGCACTGTGAAGCAGTATATAAGTCTAAGTGCTATTGCTATTTCAGCAAGTTCAGTTGTATTCATCAACCATTCCTCCGTTGTAGGTATTGCCAAATCTTTCTGCCTTTGTGCATATAATATTCTTGCTGTTGTTATCATATATAAAAATAGTATTTCATGGCTTTTTTCTAACTGTTTATCCATTAGTTCATGGAGTAAAAGTTCTGCTTTCAATTGAACTTAATTTTTAAAATCCTCTGAATCAATGTATGCATTTGAACCAGATATTTTCTAGCTTTCTTACATGTCTGGCAAACATGACAAAATTACCTTGTTCTTGATGCTCACATTTCCAACATAAATTTGAAGTACTTTCATGCATTCTGGATATAGTACATGGTACATCATTTTATAAACATTTCCTTAAGAAAATTTTCAATGTTTGCATATTTTCCCATTGTTCCATTTGTATATTATAACCAAAGTTTTAATCTACTTTATTATGCATTCGTTGATGTATTTTTCTTCTGTTTCAAATTTTGATAAACATTTATATATTTTAGCAATTATTTCCTTTGCATCTTGCACCCTGATTGTTGGGTGATATTATAAATCACCCAGATAGTATTTTAAAGCACTATGGGGAGGTATATAAGTCTTAAGCGCTATTGCTATTGAATAAAATGAGATCAGGTATAGTTCTTGTCCTGTAGCGTCATATTACTTTGTGACTGTAGCCTTCAGTCCATTTCTTAACAATAATCCCAAGAAGGGAATAATTTTGCTTTTGATTTGCACTATTGTTTTCAGCACCCTATTCTGTCCTGATGTATTAAAATTCTTTATTTTTTTCCAAATGTCAGCATTCAGTTAATGCAAAAAATTATGAATTATATGCTTAAAGGGCTGTATGTTGTTTTCTTGATTGATCCCTGATGCTTTCACACCTAAAACCCAGTAAACAGAATCGTGAATATTATATTTCTATTTCAAACGGTTTAGGTGTTCATGTATATAGATATAGGTATTCAGGAATGAGAACCTCTTTTTTAATAAGTCAACTTTCCCAGGTTTTGCACGGTTAATAACTGCATCATTTCTAAATGCCAGAGTAAATGGGACAAAAGTCAGAAATGCTTCTGTAAGAGCTTCGCTGAAAGAATGAAAAATGTCTGAAATAATGGGCTTATGAGAGAGGGAGAGAGAGAGAGGGAGGGAGGGAGGGATGGAGGGAGGGAACAATATATATTAAATGAGCCTTGAATGACTCTGAAGATAAAACATTACTCATGTGTAATGACCATGGTATGATTTGATAGGACTGCAGCTGGAATAATCATTAATAGAAAAATGGCTTGTAGAAAGTACACAATGTGGGAAAATAAGCAAGTCCTTACACTGACTTCTCCTAAACCAAGTGTACAGTATTTGATAGATAGCTTGTTACAAGGTTGATTAAATTTTACAGTAATAGCATTATATCATCAATTCTATTACAGAGGAATAACAAAATAAATTGAGTTGCTAACATGTATCCCCAGAAATGTTTAGCTGTAGCTTTCATAATTCATCTGATAGCTTGTTTACTGCATAATTCTGCACCAGATAATTTACTATGTTGAGGGCAGATACAGTGTTACGCACAGGTAATAGGATGGCATATCTAAGAACTGATTTTTATCTTTGAATGTACTCTGGATTACAGAAATACAGCTGAATTTGGATTTCAAAATGCTTATTTTCACCCATGTAGTTTACAGGTAGTACTTGACTTAGAACCATTTGTTTCTGAAGTTATAACAGCATTGAAAAAAATGACTTAGCCATTTTTTACACTTACGATCGTGATCAAAATTGGAACGCTTGGCAACTGGCATATATTTATAACGGTTGCAGTGTCCTGGGGTCATGTGATGACCTTTTGGGACCTTCTGACAAGCACAGTCAATGGGATTCATCTAACAACTATGTTTGCTAATAACTGCTAAAGCCAGATTCACTTAACAACCAGTGATTCGTTTAACAACTGTAGCAAGAAAGGCTGTGAAATGGGGAAAAATTCACTTAACTGTCTTGCTTAGCAACAAAAAGTTGGAGCTCAATGGTGGTTGTAAGCTGAGAATTATCTGTAGTAATCTTAAAAAACAAAGTATTCTGAAAAGAGCCTTTATATTCTCCTCTTTAATTGTTGAAGGAGGAGGTAGAAGTTGTGCCAGTACAAATATTGAAATATTGCTCAGGACAAATATTGTGATGTATGTACTTTTTAGAAAATAGTTTGGGTAATTGAGAAACGAACCTTGCTTCATAATTGTATTAAAATTGTATTTGCAGGTGTGTTAAGGTAAATCAATAGTGAAACTATGATGGTCTCAAGGGAGTGGTATCTTCTGGTCCTCTGGATTCTACTACCTTCTTCTCATGCTCATACAGATTTCTTCACTTCAATTGGTAAGTGATGTTTTGTAAGCACTTCTAACAGATTAAGCAATAACAGCACCAAAGGTGAGATAAATCAATTGCTTGGATTATATTAGTTATCCATCTGCTGAAGGCTAGAATAGTCACAAAATGTAAGCGTTATATAAAAATACCAGCAAATGGGGACTATGGTGGCTCATGTGGTAAGACGCTGGGCCTACGCACTGCTGAGGTCGGCTCGATTCCCGTGAGTGAATTAACTGCGTAGGGGCAAGAAAGGAGCCTCCCCCAATTGCCTAACTGGCACTCAGGCATCCTGCATGTAAAGATAATACTGCCGGAAAAAATTCCATTCACAGAGGCAAGCAGCCACCTCGGTGATCCCTAGCTAACACATGCCATACGCTTAAAAAACAGCAACAACCAACCCACCCACCCCCAGCAAATAATAAAATGCCGTAGGTTTAAGCTCTCAAGAAGCAGTTAAAATGTGTTGGAAATACTATTACCAGTTTACATGAATTCTGTTGGTTATATTTTAGTATTGCTTCTTATTGGTAAAGGGAGAACTGCCTAAGAATATGTGTTAAGATCTGTTGGTGACATTTCTGAATTGGTTGAATATATTGTTTGCAATGTCCAGCAAAATGGCTGGGCACATAATCTGACTGTTATATGCAATAGCACTTTGTCTATAACTAATTTTATTTCAATCCACAATCAGTAAATTACAAAAATAATCTTAATTTTTTCTTCCTGTTTGTACATGGCACAATTCTGTTTCCATGGCATTTCTGGCATCCACTCTGCTATGTTAACATTTACATTAGATATATTTATTTACATTAGAACAATTAATGTAACTGTACTTTATCGCAGTTCAATAAATGTCAATTGCCTTGTTGTTTGAACTTATGAAAACAATCAACATAATTCACCTGTTTTCAATTCTGATAGCAAATGTTAAATTAGATGTGTGACTGGTGGCTTTATAGTAGAGTATTTGTGCTTTTTTGGTATACCTGCAGGCTCTGCAGACTTAATATCTAGAATTAACTTGAATGAATGTGAAGCTGGAAAGAATAAAAATTAAGATTCTAGCTATGTGCTTACTAATCTTATGAAATTCTAAATTTTTGTTTCATTGGCTTGCCCATGAAATGACTAATTGGATTACAAAAAGCAAATAAGATAAGAGCTGCAAAATTATGAGTGTAGTTAATCTGTTATAAACCTTCCACTGAGAAACTGGTTTGTGCATTCAAAATCTGGGACAATATACCGGGATAATTTAATTTCAGCAGGTCAGTATGAAATTATTTTTGCTGTATTTGCCAGACATGAGTAGCAAAATAGATCGCTGCCTTGCAGCTTGCAATCAGCTGTAATTTATTCTGGTAATAGTCTTCTTACCTAACAAAATAGGAAAGATTAATTTAATGGTTCCATAGTGAAGAAAAAAATGCTCGTGATAATTTTAAAAAAAACTGCAAGAAAGTAAAATTACTTATTTGGGCTTGTTGGCTTTTAAAAGTTTTGTAATTTCTGTTCTAAAACTGTTAGAATTTCATAGGTAAAGTTCCCCTCGCACATACGTGCTAGTCATTTCTGGCTCTAGGGGGCGGTGCTCATCTCCATTACAAAGCTGAAGAGCCAGTGCTGTCCAAAGACACCTCCGTGGTCATGTGGCTGGCATGACTAAATGCCGAAGGTGCATGGAACACTATTACCTTCCCAAAGTGGTCCCTATTTTTCTACTTGCATTTTTTATATGCTTTTGAACTGCTAGGTTGGCAGAAGCTGGGACAAGTAACGTTATGCGGTGCTAGGGATTCGAATGTGGTGACTCAGTGGATAAGACACTGAGTTTGTCGATCGGAAAGGTTGGTAGAATTTCATAGCAATGTTCATAAACATACTGATTGTATTGATCTGTCTTTTAGGTCATATGACAGACTTGATTCATACAGAAAAGGACCTGGTGATATCACTGAAAGACTATATCAAGGCAGAAGAAAGCAAGTTGGAACAATTAAGGCAGTATGTAATTCTTTGAATACTAATATTTAGCAGTGTTCTATACCAGCCAAAATGAAAAAAAAAAACTTATGCTAATTAATTTCATGGCTCTTTTGTGAGTAAAACTACATCTACCATTTTTTAAGGGTAAGATTTTCTCTACAATTTTTGTAAAAGTGTATTTGAAGATCTTCAGAGATAAATATCTATGCTGAGCCATGGCATTTCAGTAAGTGCTCCTGAGGTTCATTCCCTCATTTGTTTCATATCTTTGAAAAAAACAAAAGCATTGTTAAAATCAGTTGGGTAAGTTCAGTCTCTCTCAGCTCATCCTACCTCACAGTGTCCCAGAGGGGCTTTTTCCAAAAGGCAACTGGATTTTCTTTGTTTTCTCTTTGAAAATGTTTCCCTTCTCATCCGAGAAACCTCTTCAGTTCATGGGTTTGGTTCAGTGGATGAGAAGGGAAATGTTTTCAGAACAAAAACAAAGAAAGCTCAGTTGCCTTTTGGAAAAAGCACCTTTGGGACAATCATGACATGGATGATTGAAAATCACCATAGACATCTACCTCACAGTGCATAAAATAGAGATTTTCATGTAAGCCGCCTTGAACTCCTGGAGAAAAGATAGGATATATGGTGTAGGACAGCGGTGTCACAGTGGGGTCACATGACATATTGGGACTTCTTTCTCCTTCGCTAAACTGGGTTGGGGGTGGGGCCAGCATGTGACTCATCCCACCCACGGGCTGCAAGTTTGACACCCCTGGTATGTGATATGTATCAGAGCCAGTTTGATCTAATGGTTAATTCTTCAGGCTAGAAAGTGGAAGACTTTGAGTTCAAGTCCCCCCTTAGTTATGAAAACCAACTAAATCAGGGGTCCCCAACCCCTGAGCCTCAGATCAGTACTGGTCTGCAGCCTGTTAGGAACCAGGTCGCATGAGTGGCAGACGGGTAAGCGAAGCTTCATCTGTGCTTGCATACGATCTAGGTTGCACTTGTGAAACCATTCCCCGCTGCCAGTCCATGGAAAATAATTTTTGTTCCAAAGCTGGGCACTGAAACCAGGAAGGTTAAGGAACTGCTGAGCTAAATGACTTTGAGCCAGTCACACACACACTCGGCCCAACTCAGCTCAGTTGTTGTGGTAAAAATAGGAAGAGGAAGCTGTATTGCATATGTTCACCAACTTCACTTATTTGTATACATTTTAAAGGTTGGGTAGTAAATATAAAATAAATATAAACAAAATTAATTTTATTAAGAGCAAACTCAAAAATGTATATACCTCACGATATGAGCATGCATGTGTGTTTGGATGTAAGTGTTCATGTTATTCGTAGTGTTGGCTTAACAATTTACTAAGCTTTTATTTCCTATGCTTAGGTGGGCTGAGAGGTTGGATAAGCTGACAGATACTGCAACCAAAGACCCAGAGGGATTTTTGGGACATCCGGTGAATGCATTCAAGTTGATGAAACGACTGAACACTGAGTGGAACGAGCTTGAGAATTTGGTCTTGAAGGACATGTCTGCTGGTAGGGCTTTTGGAATCCTTTGAAGCAATTGGTCATTAAATACATTGAGTAGCCAAAGAAATCTGGATTTCAGTTCACGTCTTAGGGATGAATTCACTGGGAAGAGTCTCAAGTATGCTTAACTACTAAAAATTAATTTGGTTATAGATCTTCCAGTCTAAGCAGCGCAACTATTTGTATTTTGCCCAAATGCCAGGGTAATGGATACTTCTGGCTGGAAGTGACCAGAGGATGTAACTATAAATAAGTTTAGAACACACCAAGGCAGTGTATACTAATTACATCTGAATGGGAGCCTCTCTCTTCCTGAGTTCAGTTGTTATTCTTCATAATAACATAAAATACCAACAATGGTTGGTTTCCTTTGTGATGAGATTGGAGTTACATCAAGGATAATATTGCAAATTACTGATGAATGTCATTATCAATAATCTGTTTTATTCCCTTGCAATTAAGAGCATTGTCTTCTTAGCAATCACATATTCAAAAGAAAAGAAACAACTAAGTTCAGGTAGTCCTCAACTTACAACCCAGTTAGGACCAGAATTTCCACGCTAAGCAAGCGAGTTGTTACATGAGTCACGTCTTTTTGCCACAGTTGTTAAGTGAATCATGCCAGGTGCCAAGTGCCTGGATGTTTATTACTTGACCGTTGGGATGCTACAAGTGTGGCAACCAGTTGTAAGTCACTTTTTTCAATGCCGTTGTAACTTTAAATGGTCACTAAACAAACGGTTGTAAGTTGAAGACTACCTGTGCTTTCTTTGCTTCTGAGCTCGCTTAAAAATCTAAGTTTTCTTCTTGTTGGAATGACTCCTTCCATTCCTCTGAACCTGCCTTTCTGGCCAGGAAAGAACAAATGCCTCTTTATTGACAAAAAAGAGTTCTGCATTAAATGTATTGAATTTAATTTTAGTATTGAATTATGCTTTTACAGTATAAGTAATTAAATTCTAATAAAGTGTAAAACTGATGGAAGAGAATATTTGTAGCTCAGGGTTGAACTGTGAAGTCTTTTGATGCTCTCTGAGCTTGGTTGTTTCCTTAAAGACATTTCTTTACCAAACTAGATTACATCATCAGTGTAGAAGGGAATGGGATTTGCTCTCATTTTATATACTAATGACTTGCTCTGTCATTGTTGGTGGGAAAAGTATAAAACCATTTCCTTTTTGAGAAATCTATGGAACTATCCCATCATTTATTCTGCAATAGGGTTAATTTATGTATGTAAGCACTGATGTACTGTACTGTATGTACAGTACACACTGTATGCACTTTGTATATTTTTGGAAGTGGCTTGTTTCAGCCAAATGAAGTTTGTGGGGCTCAAGACATACTGAACAGTCCATTTTTGGAAATACAAGCACTATCTTGGATTCACTGGTCCCTTTTGGGAAATACACGGGATATTCCAGTTTGCTTTGGAACACATGTTTTGTATATACTTGATTACAATTAAATGTTTAGTAATCTAATACTTTAAGTAAAGTCCCCTAACTAAAGAAATATTTAAATTTAGTATAGCAAATGAGAACAACAATCTTATGAACAACCCAAAGTATAGACAATAGCTTATATAATCGTGGGGAAAAAAGCAGAACGGTTTTAGATTTATTTAAAGAAATTGTTCTAAATTGTCCTAAAATCTTCCCCTCCCCCAGGGAGGAAAAAGAACTCATAAAATTAAAATTGTGTTTCTTTATATGTATTTATTAAAGATAGTGGTCAGAAATTCCAATGAAAGCAAAGGTGGCTTGTAAGGTTAGATAAGATATACAAGGATATGTTAGATAAGATATACAAGGATATGTTTATATGTAATAAATACTGTTTTCTGAGAACCATAGGTTTTTCCCTTGACCTGTGCTTCTAATTCTTGAAGAATTTCTTCTTAAAAATTGCTCAAACACCCCCACTCCACAAAAGGATCCATTGATAAGGATCCATTGATAAGGGGGGAGGGAAGCTTTTGTTTGTTTTTGGAAGCTTATGAAAGAGAGATTCAACCTAGAATTAAGAAGAAATTTCATACCAGCAAGAACAATTAACGATTGATCAGTAGAACAGCCTGCCTCCAATAGTTGTGGGTGTTGTATCACTGGAGGTTTTTAAGAAAAATCTGAACAGCCATTTCTCCAGAATAATACAGGGGTTGGACTAGGCCATTGGGGGGGGTTGGACTTTGGCCTGTGGGGTGCTTAGATCTGGCCCGCGGGGCCAGCCTGAAAACAGCAGAAGGACCAGCCTGCGGTGCCTGTGCCAGCGAAAACTGAGCATGCGCAGCCCCCATCCAAGCTCCATTTTCACTGGCAGAGGGCTATCAAAACAAACTAAAAACAAAACAAAAGGAGAAATGTTTCCCCTGTTGCATTTGAGCATGCAAAGAAGGGACAGAAAATGAGAAAGGGAAAGAGGAAAGATAAAGGAAAGATGGGAAGGGAGCAAGGAAGGAAAAAGAAGGAAAGGGGAAGGAAAAAGAAGAAAAGGAAGGAAGGAGATTACAGTGAGAGTGAGGGAAGGTCCCAGGGAAGTCCTGCCTTAGCACTTGGCCACCACAGGTGCCCCCAACATGAGTCCTGTGTCATGGCCACCCTGGCCACTTCCTCACCCCCGGTCCTCTGAGGTCAAACACAATTGTGATGCGGCCCTCTATGAAATCAAGTTTGACACCCCTGAGTCACTAGAAGATCTCCTTCCAACTCTGTCATTCTATTCTGTTCTGTCATTGAAACAATCAATTTTACACATCCGTGTAAATCTATAATACTCCCGTGTATTCCAGAAATAGTCAAAAGAAATTGTTACTGAACCATAACAATATTTTAAGCCTTATTGCAGTTATGTAAAGTACGCATTTGACCCGTAACCCATTTTTCTTACAAAGTAATATCACTTCCATTATCGAAAAGAAGGTGATTTATAACAAGAAGGCTGCAGATGGTGACATTATCCCCTCCTCCCCTCAAAAAAATCTGGGACTGGATCCAGGTTTAGTCATGCCTAAAGCATTCATGAGCCAGTCATCAGTCTGGAAGCAGCTAAGAGGAAGAAGAGGAGGATAAATTATGGACAAAGATGGGGTGGGGGGGAAGGAAGGCGGGTAGAGATCGGTTTGGAATTGTGATCCATGCAGAGGAACTGAAAGTACTATAATGCAATTCTTGCAGCAGTTTTGAAAGGTTCATAGGGGGAAAAAAAGCCATATGAGCTGAGATTGTGCCCCTGTAGTCAAGGGAGTATTGAAGCTACAACTCATGTCTGCTATAGTGAATCTTCTATAACAGGGGTATCAAATTCAATTTCATTGAGGGACGCATCAGGGCTGTGGTTGACCTCGGGGTGGTGGGCGTGGCCGACTGGGTGGGTGTGGTCAGCTTGACGCCACTTTCCAAACTGCTGGCATGTTTCCTCTTTGCATTGGGTAGACTGGGCCGAAGCCATGCTGGCCTGATGTTTCCTCTTTGCATTAGGTAGACCGGGCCAAAGCCGACCCTTTACACTTTCCAGGCCAGCTCCGCGGGCCAGATCTGACCACATTGCAGGCTGGATCCAAACCCTTGTGTTTGACACCCCTGCTCTGTAAGGACTCAAACACCCACTTTGTAACACCTCACCTGATAAAATACCTAAGAAAACATTGAATCTCTTCTCTGTACAGTTCTGTGGTCAGTTCAGTCCGATGTAGTTTCTCTGAATATACCCAAATTGTTATACTGTATGCAAAATTAGGCTGACTGCCCATTGATAACCACTAATCATATTATTTGTCTGTTTTTATTTTTTATTTATTTTTATCATTATTTTAAATGCTTTTATTTGTAATGCTGGTCTGTGACTATAATAAAAATCATTTATCTACTTCAAGAATCCCCTTTTAAAATTATTTTTAGGGTTTATTTCCAACATGACAGTTCAACGGCTGGTTTTCCCTGATGATGAAGATCAGACTGGTGCTGGCAAAGCTCTCTTGCGACTCCAAGATACATATAAGTTGGATACTGACACGATCTCAAGGGGAAACCTTCCAGGTATGTAAGATACCAGCATTTTAGGGAAGCAAAATGTTTCCCTAATGTTTTGTTTCAGAGGGACAGGGCGCATTCATATGTGATTTCTAGCTGTAGGGAAGATCAAAACAGCCTCATACTTTATTCTCTCTCTCTTCTTTTAAGAAGCTCTGATTTTAAACACACTTTTCTGTGTGTGTTTCAAATTTTTCATTGCAGAATAAGTAGAAAGAGGAAGAGAAGAAAGGAATAACAGTAAAAAAGAAAATATATAATTATGCTTTCTGCATTAAAAAATCATTTTTACTTAGAAATAATAATTACAGGTAACATACAGGCAATTTTTATGTATGGGACCAAATGATCTCCTCTGTGAATTTCTATAACTAAGTAAAACTGGGCATCATAATGTGTAAAAACTAAAATATATTCTGGTTATTATCGTAGGTATCATTAATTTTTTTAGTATTAGTTATTTCTGGTTGGCCTTTTATGATACAGAAGTTTTTTTTGTGCATCTTTGTTTGTTTTTTTTACCTTAGTCTTGCTGCTATCAATAAGTAAAGCTGGGAATTGCATTGTATATTAATCTTTTTTTTAGAACAGTGTATAATGCAATACATCCCTGTGCATTGATCATTTAAGAGATTGAATCTCTTAAAGATTTTTTTCAAGCATATCATTTTTGGAAAAGGTTACGGTAAGTATTGGGGGTGGTAGCTGAAACTAACAGAGGAAAGCACACACCTGAGTTGTGTTGGTCTCAGGATTATTCTCCCACTACCATGACATTCAGAATCAAGTGCAGATGGTGGTTCTCCTGTGATTTGAAACTTGTGATTTCCACCACCACCACCATATTTGCTTTAACAGGATTTGCTTTCCTTCGATCTGTTTTTTTTTTAAAGTTGCTCTTGCAAGACAAAAGGCAGATTTAGCCTGTGAATTAAAAATTCAGCGTGAGAGGTCTCCCCCTCTCTTTCTCAAAAAGTTAAGTGGCTCTCTCACTATTTTATTGGTACTGCTAGAACTTAGGAAATTAAAAAAAAACACCATAGAACACTGCAAAGAAATCTTCCAATCATCTAAAAACTTAACAAATTAAACATTCAGCCATAGATGTATCTCTGAATTATATTTAGGAATATCATACTAGAAAAATACAATATTAACATAAATGTAAAATTGTATGTAATATAATATCTGAAGATTTAGGTAGTCCTTGACTTACAACAGTTCACCTAGAGCAGTGGTCCCCAACCTTTTTTGTACCAGGGACCAGTTTCAAGCAGAAACACTTTTTCAAGGACTGGCGGGGGGG